GTGGTGCAAACCGCAGGGCGGGGGGCCCGGCTCTGCCCCGCCATATCATTTTATGTGGCCCGTGAAAGCAAATCAAACATGTCAACTTCCATGATGCTTGCTAAAATCTCGACCAAAACTTCAAATTCTCATGTGTAACAAGTAAGAGACATGTTGTAAGCATTTTCTTGAAACCAAACCCCTCATTTACAGTAACTTAATAGTTGAAAAACCCGTTGTTATTGACTTTTTAAATTTGCTGTGTTACACAGTTCTTAATTTGACTTTTGTTTTGTCCTGCAATCAACCAGTAAGACTAGCCTAAAACAGGGATGTGTAAAAGTATTTGCCCCTTTCCTGATTTTTGTGTTTTTTTGCATTTTTATCAAACCAATTTTATTATCACACAGAGACCACACCAAGGAAATACAAAATGCAGTTTCTGAATGCCAATTTAATTTAGACACACAAAAAAAAATCATACCAAAATTGCAAATGTTTTAAGATTTTATTTAGCATATGACTTTTTTTTTTTTTTCAAAAACTGAGACAAGTATGAAAACCAATGTTGCCTCTAAACCAGAGTATCAAACTCAAGGCCTGGGGGCCAGATCTGGCCCGCCACATCATTTTATGTGGCCCGTGAAAGCAAATCAAACATGACAACTTCCGTGATGCTTGCTAAAATCTCGACCAAAACTTCAAATTCTCATGTGTAACAAATAAGAGACATATTGTAAGCATTTTCTTGAAACCAAGCCCCTCATTTACGGTAACTTAAACAATAGTTGAAAAACCCGTTGTTATTGACTTTTTAAAATTTGGTTTCAGTCATAACGGCCCTCCAAGGGAAACGGTAACTAAAATGTGGCCCACGACAAAAATGAGTTTGACACCCCTGCTCTAAAGTGTGTGTGCGCAATCGTGCATTGCTTTCACCCACTCAGCGCACCGTAAACACATTTTAACGCTGAGCTGTAACAGCATTTTGTGGGTGTGTATTTTTATTTTTTTTAACGGCTTATACAATTAAATTGAAAAGTTGATTGGGAGAATGTCGTTGACGGTGGGGCAACAAAAAAATTGTGAAAGTGTGGGAGCATTTCAGACTGAAATGTGCATTCTTTTCGTGTCATAAGTCACACAGAACTTGCTCCAAGATGCCCACCTGGTTAATGTTTTCTCGTCAACGAGGCTTATTTACAGTGATAATGTTGATGTACGTTACTAATATAACATAACCCTACGGAGGGTATGGTCTCAGTTAATCACAGTACAGTATACAGGTACAGACTGTACCTGTCAACTTTTCACAGCGCCAACCTGTATAAACTACCAAAAAAATCCTTAGCCCCTCATTTACGGTAACTTAAACAATAGTTGAAAAACCCGTTGTTATTGACTTTTTAAAATTTGGTTTCAGTCATAACGGCCCTCCAAGGGAAACGGTAACTAAAATGTGGCCCACGACAAAAATGAGTTTGACACCCCTGCTCTAAAGTGTGTGTGCGCAATCGTGCATTGCTTTCACCCACTCAGCGCACCGTAAACACATTTTAACGCTGAGCTGTAACAGCGTTTTGTGTGTGTGTATTTTTTTTTAACGCCTCATACAAATAAATTGAAAACGGAAACGGAAATTTTCAGAATCCATATGATTTGTGCGTTATGGCCATATACGTAAGATTCACCACAAAATCCGTATGAACTATGGCTAAACCGTATGAGTTGACAGGTATGTACAGTATAACTACCGTCGAGATGCGGCTTGTTTATTAACATGGTTTAACTTTTTCATTACCTTTAAAATTACGATTACTTGTAAAATACTTCCATAGGCGTGCATAGATTGCCATCGTTACATAAAACATGAATCTAAATGCATTTTATTAAGCAATGTAGTACGAGTAAGAGGACGGTAGAGGGCGACAGAGAAGAATTACATCTTTGGTTGGGAGAAGAAGACGCCTCCTCTGTGGGTAGCGGAGGATGGACAATGGCCGTAGGGGAGGCCTTAGAAAAAAGCTTTCCCACGGCTCCCGGAGTTGGTCCGTCTAGTCGTGTTTTGTGAAGTCTCGGCAAAACTTTGTGACGGAGTTTGTGGCTGGCTTGTCGTTTGGCTTGTTCGCCTTAACAACTGCTTATTGTATTATTTGTTTGCGGGGCATTGGACGATGGGCTGCTGAAACCTGACGCCTCTCCCGTTTCTTCCTTGGCTTCGACATGGGAGAATAAATCAGGTCAGTGGAAGATAATTTGCATGTAACATGTATAAACTGAATTGGAGTCTCTTTAATTGTGCTGCTTGTTGATTTGATCCCACAGAAACATAAACCGATTTCGTCCACTGAAATCGTACCGCTTAGTAAAACTTGTAAAAGCCGATTTACCCATTTTCACGAATTAGAAGGCTTAAAACAATAACCTGCCTTATCAGGCATATTCTTCAGGGACCGTACATGACAAGTAAAAGAGAGCAATATCGTCCCCTTTAAAAGTTATAACGTAAAGCTTAATTCCCAGTATTTGCCAATAACGGGAGCTGCACCGAGGGCAATCTGTAAAAACGTGTCGCCAGTTATCTTTTAAATATTGTTTTGCCACTTATTTTTTTGATTGAATAGTTTAATTATGACGTGATCGAACCCACATCCTCGCAATGTGAGGTTGACGACATCACTGTGCAGAGGTACCAGGTTCGATTCCAGCTCCGGCCTTCCTGTGTGGAGTTTGCATGTTCTCCCCGTGCCTGCGTGGGTTTTCTCTGGGTCCTGCTGTTTCCTCCCACATTCCAAAAACATGCGTAGCAGGCTGATTGAACACTCTAAATCACAGATGTCAAGGACCTGACTTTGATCCAAATGATCAGCTCATCAGCAAGCTCCATAGGAGTCTGATAGTGATCCTGATCATTTGAATCAGGTGTGTTGCAGCAGACGTGGAAAACATGCAGGAGACCGGCCCTCGAGGACCCGACTTTGACACCTGTGCTCTAAATTGTCCTTAGGCCAAACAAAAAAGATGGTGTGTTTCCGGTAACATGAAATTTCAGCATAGGGTCAGTAGGTCGGACAAAGTTTTCTTTTTTTTTTTATCTTTTTTTTTTTTGCTGTAAATGGTTAGTGCATTTTAAAATGGACCCAACAGCTATAGACTATGCAGAGTTGCACTAATACTATGAAACAATGCAATTAGGAAAAGAAATACTTGAAATGGACTGTGCGAAAGACAACTAAACTAAACACTAATATTTAAAGTTTGTCCAAAACGTTTTGTTTTCCTTCACTTCTACGCATAATTCAAGAGTAGCACATTGATCGACACCATGGGTTCCCAAACTTTTTGGACTGAAAATCATTACCGCGCACGCACGCGCACGCACATGCACACGCACGCCATGATGAGCAACAGCCTGACACGGAGGCATGCGACGCACTTTTGCGGCCTGTTAACGATCGCAGCTCACACGTACTGTTTTAAAGTGCTTCCCTCGGCCCTCGAGATTCCTATCCTTTGCTCGTGCCCTCGGTGAATTGTACATGAAACAAACTCTGAATGAGAATAATGATGAATACTAATAATAGTAATAACGATAAAAGATATTGCGCAACAGCTCTGATCACAAGTTGCAATTGCAGATTGCTGAGCGCTAACAACTTCCAGTGACGCAGGTCACGCGCCACCGTAGGTTAAAGATTTACCTGCTTTATTTTACTTTATTTTTTAAATAGACCATGTCGCTGACATGTAGTGAATTCTCCAGATTCTCTGAACTTTTTGATGATATTATGGACCATATATGATGAAATCCCTAAATTCATTGCAATTGTGCGTTGAGGAACATTGTCCTGAAACTGTTTGCCTTTTTTCCTCACACAGCTGTTCACAAAGAGGTGAACTTTGCCCCTTCTTTGCCGGTGAATGACTGAGCATTTCAGAGAAGCTCCTTTTATACCCAATCATGGCACCCTCCTGTTCCCAGTTGTCCTGTTCACTTGTGGGATGTTCCAAACAGGTGTTTGATGAGCATTCCTTAACTTTCTCAATCTTTTTTTTTTTTTTTTGCCACCTGTCACTGCTTTTTATTTTTTTATTTGGAACATTCAAAGTCAATGCTTATTTGCGAAAAACAATCATGTTTATCACTTTGAGCCTGAAATACCTCGTCTTTGTCATTTTACAATGCAATACAGGTTGTGCATCTCTTCCAAAAAGACGATTTGATCTCGACACATGGGATGTGATACAATTAGAGGATGCTTAATTTTAAAATGAAACACTGCCGTTCGATTCGATGCATGCGCTGTTGTTAATTCGGACAGCTTTTCTGATTTCAATGTTTTTTTTTTTTTTTTTTTTTTTGTCCACCTCTATTTCTGTGTATGTTATAGGTTGACAACAATGAAGACCGCGCCATGTTGCCTTGAACACGGACCACTTTCCCCGAGAGCGTGATGTGCTCTCCTTTGACGATGCGCCTAGAGGAAGTGTTCACACCTCTGCTGCTCCCCCTCCACCGGCAGGGGACAAAGACACCAGTCTCTGCTGCCTCATTATGGGCCACTTGAAGCTTTCCACAACGCTCAGAGACAAGATCCTCATGGCGAACAATTCCCTTGGCTCCGAGGTGCCTCCACATCCTAAGCCAACCGCCGCGACCCCAGAGAGCCTTAACGGCATTAGTCTATCCCTGCGGGTGTTCTTCTGCTTTGTTATGGTCGGCATTTTGCTGTTTTCTCTGTTCGGGAACATGGTGGTGTGCCTGATGGTCTACCAGAGATCAGCTATGCGCTCGGCTATTAACCTCCTCTTAGCGAGCCTTGCCTTTGCGGATATGATGCTCGCCATTCTCAACATGCCTTTCACGCTAGTTAGCGTCATGACCATCGACTGGATTTTCGGGGAGGTTTTCTGTCGCGTTTCAGCCATGCTCTTTTGGTTCTTTGTCATGGAGGGAGTGGCCGTTCTGCTTATAATAAGCATCGACCGCTTTCTTATTATCGTGCAGAAGCAAGATAAGCTGAGTCCGCAGAAGGCTAAAGTGCTCATACTGGTCACGTGGGGACTGGCTTTTTTTTTCTCCTTTCCTTTAGCTGTTGGTTCCCCTCGCCTCGAGATGCCCCCCAGAGCTCCTCAATGTGTTTTCGGCTATAGCGCTGAACCAGGCTACCATGCGTACGTGTTGATTGTAATGCTGGTCTTCTTCTTTATCCCCTTCATGGTCATGCTGTACACATTCATGGGGATTCTAAACACCATCCGCCACAACACAGCCCGCATCCACAGCCACCCAGATGGCACGTGCCTGAGCCAAGCCGGCAAACTGGGCTTGCTAAGCATCCAGAAGCCCTTCCAGATGAACATCGACGTGAGTTTTAAGACGCGCGCCTTTGCCACCATCCTCATCCTCTTCTCTGTGTTTACAGTGTGCTGGGCACCCTTCACCGCTTACACTCTCGTATCCACGTTCAGTCATGACTTCTACCGCAAAGACAGTTTTTTTCAAGTCAGCACTTGGGTGCTGTGGCTGTGCTACTTCAAGTCAGCGCTCAACCCGATCATTTATTACTGGCGCATCAAGAAATTCCGTGACGCTTGTGTCGATCTGATACCAAAGTACTTCAAGTGTCTTCCGCAGCTGCCGGGCAACACAAAGAGGCGTATACAACCGAGCGCCGTTTATGTTTGCGAAGGGCATCGGACTGTGGTTTGAGGGGGAGAATTTCCCTGCGCGCCACGTAAGGCAACCGACAGTAGGCCACATTCACATCCAAACGGTCGACTTTCAGCGCACTCCGGCCACTGTATCCTGATCTGAATTGTTATTGGATATTGATAGCGGCCTCGTGTAAATACAGAAGTGTGCAGTGGATCATTCTCGCACAGGAGAAGCCACCAGTGAATTCAACACTGTTGAGGAAAAACTAAAACATAGGAGCCCAAACTGCCACACTGCCAGTGCCACAAAATATTTTGTACTCAAATAATACCTTTCAAGGTGTCTGAACAGTTTGCACAAAATACCCATACAAATATATTTCCGTGACAACTTTTCAAAAATTAATTAGTCAATATGGATGATTTTGGGTGTAGGCTTTGCCATAGTTCAAGAAGTCACAAATTTTCTTTGCAACAATATGTTTTATTTGCCCCCACTAAGCTTGGGTGGCACTCAGATGTCACTTGATCATTGCAAGCTGAGCCAGAGGGCACTTTGAAGTCATGATCAGTTACCAGCAGGTGTCAGTACAGAGTAAAATGGCAGACATAGATAACTGTTTTTTTTTTTTTGGTATTTGACAAAAGCAGTATGAATCAGAATACCGTATTTATACCACATTGAAACATATTTCATAGAAATCTTTGATTCACTTCAGCCTTAAAAAATTCCAGAAAATATGTTTAACAAGCTGTCCTCAGCGTTTTCCTTGTGTCCCTTTTTCCGGAAATCAAAATTGCATATGTGATCCAAGCTATCAGTGTATTGTGTTTTCTGTCATTTAGATTGCTGTGGAATAAATAAACGCATCAATTCAACTTTGCCTAAAGCAACGTGATATACAGTGGTACTTCTACTTAGGAAATTAATTGGTTCTGAAAGAAATTTCTTAACTAGAAAATTTGGTAAGTAGAGGCGCGTTTTCCATGTAAATGCCCTAATCCGTTCCAAGCCCCCCCAAAATTGAGACACAAATGTTTTCTAAAGCATAAAAATGCATCAAAATGCGTAACAAATACATGTTGCAATTATTCCACAATAAATGAGAGTTGTGCATAATGTAAAAAAAAAAAAAAAAAAGTAAAAAATCAAAATGGTCATTTAACTTTTAACTGCGTTCTCATTGTTTTTTGCCCTCTGTAGTTCATGTTCTCTCTCTCAAGTGTTTTTTTTGCCTGGCGTTTTGTAAAGAACTGATCCGAGGACCATAATGTAAAAAAAAAAAAAAAAGAGTAAAAAATTAAAATGGTCATTTAACTTTTAAATGCGTTCTCATTGTTTTTTGCCCTCTGTAGTTCATGTTCTCTCTCTCAAGTGTTTTTTTTTTTGCCTGGCGTTTTGTAAAGAACTGATCCGAGGACGTCTGCTTTTGTCAGCTTTTAATAATCCTTCGAAAATGTCCAAGGCAAACATCAGCATAGTGAGTGATCGCCCGACCAGTGAACACTTTTTTGGGCAATTCATATTTACGTAAAACTATCGCAATGCCTCATGGCCCGAGGGGCGAATGACGAGGACGCTGCATATACACAGATCTATTTATCTATCTATCTACATCAGGGGTGTCAAACATATGGCCCGCGGGCCGGAATTGGCCCCCAAGGAGGTTTGATCCGGCCCACGGGATCATTTAAAAGTGAAAAAAAATTACATTAAGACACAGAATGGCTATTTTAAATAAAATGCAATTTGTGGATTATCCATTTTACGGGGCACACTGTTTTGATCACAGTAGAAGACAACATTGTTTTGATCGGGGAAGGAAACAGCAGTCTCAGTCTATCACCGAGACAGTCCCAACGCAGCAAATGATATTAAAGCGCCAATCAATGCTTCTTGAGACCAAAACAAAGGAAAGAGATGATATTTTGGTGATTCATAGCACAGTATGATATAATGTTAATGGTTCGGCCCACTTGACATCTACCGAGTCCGTATGTGGCCCGCAATGTGTAATGAGTTTGACAACCCTGATCTACATGCATAGACACATTTGATAGAAGTGCCTCTTAGCCAATGGGATGCCAGGAAGGTGCTAGGTAATAGCCAATGGCAGAGCAGCGAGAAGTATGTTGCGTTCAGGAAACTTGGAGCTGCGACAAGCATGCCATACTGTATTTTTACCTTTTGTATCTTGAAATTTCTTTCGTATGCCGTACTGTATTTTTACCTTTTGTATCTTGAATTTTTTTTTTTGTAAAAAGAGTCAACATTTTCCCGTTGAGGCGTTTCATAACTTGAACATTTCGTATGAAGAGATGTTCGTAAGTAGAGGTACCACTGTATATTCATTTTACCTTAAAAAGCGAATCGTGGCTATTGAGGATTTGCCCAACCTGTTGTGGAAGAATGAGTTCCCGTGCTAATTATTGTTCAGTTGTGTGTATATGTTGTACAAAGTTAACCACAAATGAAAACTTGCTGCATGTATTCATTTGTGACAACGACACTGGTTTACATGTAAAATGTACTTCGAAGATAATAAAAGCACAACATTCTGCTAATTTATATGGAAGACAAAATGCAGTGTGACAACATTAAAGTTCGTATATCACTGCGGTGCCAAAACGATACAAGGTGTGAAATGTGTGTTTGGACTTTAGCTATTAAATTAGGATTAGAAGCGATTGTTTCCTCGACACACCAATGGCGCCTTTGCAAAATTCTAGTGAAATCAAGGCCGAATTTATTGATGGCCATTCCACATACAACATATACACTACTTGAATATTCCAATGAGTATCCCATCTCCATTTCAATTTTGGCTCCGGAAGCACTTCGTTTTACTTCGTTTTTTTATTTTATTTTATTTTTTTTTAGCCTTAACCCTTTCATGCACCCTGTAACCTGATAACATGACAAGCTGTCCACTGTAGTAACCGCTGTCCCTGAAAGGATTAAGGTGTTTACCTGCATAGAACAGATTTTACAGTATATCTAAAGTGAATATTGTCTATTTTTTGTGTTTTTTTTTACGTGGCCATGGCCAAGACACTTGTTTTGACTCTTTCGATATGCCTGTTTAGTTAGAATGCTGCTATATCTCATGGTGAGACTGTGCAATTATCCTGTACTGTACATTATTGTACTGTTGAATGTAATAAAATGTACATTTCTACTTTGGTAAGTTGTCTTAAAGAGGATCTTTTGTTCACTTCTGTCAGCTGACAGGGAAATTTGGAACGTTTCAAGTAATCAATATTCATCTTGACTTAAATGCTCGCTTATTGTTAAAAATGTTACGACAAATGTTCACCAACAACTGAAATATGCTGTTTAGCGTCTCTGCACTGTGAGGCAAACGTGCTAACCAGTCGACCACCGTGCCGCCTCTCTTTACTTATACAGTGATCCCTCGCTCTAACGGGGTTCACTTTCCGAGGCTTTGCTGTTTGACAGATTTTTTTTTTAGTGCAGTTTTTTTTAATGCTTTTAAACAGTGAATTGCGTTCTGCATCCTGATTGGCTAAGGCACTGACCGACGTGAACAGTCCAACCTCGTACTATTAAAAATATTGTTTTACAGTACAGTATTTCCAAAAACTATTGTAGTTATTTGTTGAAAACGTTTGGGGATTTTTTTGTGCTTGGGCCTGAAAACAGGTTTTGGTCTTTGGTTTCATTGTATACATAGTTAAGTATTGTATAATAACTGTAAAAAAAAAAAATAATAAAGCTCACTACTTCACGGATTTCACCTATCACTGGTTCTTTTTGGAACGTAACCCCCGCGATAAACGAGGGATTACTGTAATTCGTTTTTTCTTTCTTTTTTTTTTTGTTGTTATCTTTATTTTCAAATACTTCTCGAGATACCACTACAAATCGAACTCCAAACATTTAATAAATGAGACACAGATGGCACAGCACTCCCAGATTGCTTTGCGCGGGTTCGGGGCGATTGAAAACAAACTTTCTCAGTGCGTGTGTCTTTTTTTTTTTTTTAAACTTTATTTGTCAGCGTGTCAGCTTGTCCTGCACATGCATGTGACGTAGTTAAGTACGTTTCTCGATGCGACACCAACTGTTCACTTTAGCCTATCACGGCGACATGGGCAAAGGAGCCGAATTTATGATTCGAACGCTTCAAACCCACCGCCCAACACTCGACCTCGCCTGATCACGTGAATCGCATTGACTGTAGACAGGAAACGTGTGGAAACGTGCTGATTTTGTAAATTTCACAAAATGTAATCATAATTATAGGGATGCACCGATACCACCTTCAGAAATGAGTACAAGTAGTTTCATTTGAGTACTTGCTGACCATGCGATCGATATTATACCTGTACTTGAAGAAGCCAGTATATCTTCCAACTGTGACGAAAACGTGTTTTATTTTATTCAAGCATGGTTAAAAATACATCACAAACTTTTCTTGAACATGGCGCAAGTTGAATTGAAACATAAGACTTATTAGTGTAAAATCATATCATTTGAGTGACATGCAGCTGCATATTTTTTGAAGTTCTGACACTCATTTCACTGACGCGGTGGATAACATTTCAATTTTATGGTGTGTCGGTCTGAACGCTAGGGGGCACTATGTAAAAGGACTAAATATCCATCCATCCATTTTCCGAGCCGCTTTATCCTCACAAGGGTCACGGTGGGGGGTGCTGGAGCCTATCCCAACCGTCTTCAGGCAGTAGGTGGGGGACACCCTGAACCGGTTGCCAGCCAATCGCAGTGCACACAACCATCCGCATTCACACTCACACCTAGGGAAAATTTTGAGTGTTCAATCAGCCTGCCATGCATGTTTTTTGGAATGCGGGAGGAAACTGGAGTACCCGGAGAAAACCCATGCAGGCCCCGGGAGCACATGCAAACTCCACACAGGGAGGCCGGAGCTGGAATTGAACCTCTCCACCGTGAAGTCGACACACGAACCACTGGCGCACTGGGTCGCCCTAGACATCTGATCTTTAAATGAAATACAAAACCTTCAAGCATTGGTGTCCAAACTATGGCCTGAGGGGCATTTGCGGTCTACCATCCATTTTTCAGCGACATGACACCCCGCACTCCTTCCCAAATAAGAAACAAAACTTAAAATGACATTTGAGATGGGCCGCAAGGTTGGTTAAAAAAAGGTGAAGGTGGGCAGAGTGAGAAGGGAGGGTGTACTGTCGAACTTTTCTCTATATTTGAAGATACAAATGAACCATTTCTGATTCAAAGACCAAAACAATCTCCCTTCAAAACACTGTAGTGAATAAAGATAATTCAGTTTTAGAGGCAAAAATCAATTTTTCCACTTTATGCTCTATGGCTGATTTATTAAGACCACACATCGATGGTCTTCAAGGAAGTGATAAATGGTCACCTTGCGGCAGTTTTTTATTTTTAAATTTTTTTTAGATGGGATTTGGTGGCTGTTAACTGCATAGCTGCACATATTCTGAGAGCTCGAGGGCTGTTGGCCACCCCCAAAATCCTCAACTATTTGCCTTCACGCCTTTAACAGAAAGCTGATGAAATGAACTAGACCAGGGGTGCCCAAACTTTTTGGACCAAAGTTCGACTTTTCGATCAGCCAACCTCCCGCGATCGACCCGTTACCGCGTACGCACATACACACACACGCCACGATGAGCAACAGTCTGATACGGAGGCATGCGACGCACTTTTGCAGCCTGTTAACTATCGTAGCTCACACGTACCGTTTTAAAGTGCTTTTCCCTTGGCCCTCTAGATTCCTATTCTTTGCCCGTGCCCTCGGTGAATTGTACACGAAACAAACTCTGAATGAGAATCATGATAACGTTCAAAGATATAGTGCAACAGCTCTGATCACAAGCTGCAATTGCAGACTGCTGAGCGCGAACAACTTCCGGTGATGCAGTCACGCGCCACCGCAGGTTAAAGATTTACCTGCTTTATTTTATTGTATTTTTTTCAATACTTTTTGTGAAAATGAGACTGATAGGATGATTAGGGTGCAGTGTACATTAACGCATTAATATATATATTACGAACATGCAGAAAGACATACAAATGGTTGGGGGTTTTTTCTCCTCTAAATCCCTCGCGATCGAATTAGGACCGTCCGCGATCTACCGGTCGATCGCGATCGATGTAATGGGCACCCCTGAACTAGACAATACAGTACAAACAATATATAACTGATTTCTTGACTGACTTTAGACTGTTTCAAAAAGTTGGAAGCATTTCTAAATGGCCCTTTCATCCTTCCAGTTTGAAGGGTGGGGGGGAGGGGCCTAAACAAAATTCTGACGGGGCTATCGCCTCCCCCTACTTGATCCAGTGTAGCGCCGTGCATGGAAAGTACAGTGATCCCTCGCTACTTCGCGGTTCGTTCATCGCGGGTTCAGTGCATCGTGGATTTTTTTCAAACATAACACAACATATACACATACATACATACATACATACATACATACATACATACATACATACATACATACATACATACATACATACATACATACATACATACATACATACATACATACATACATACATACAATATATACATAACATATACATGGAGTACAGTACTGTATATGTTGCTCTATGTGACTCGCTGTTGTTTTGCAGCTTCTCGCTTTTCTTTACCTGTTTATGTTAATTGGACGCTACTTCGCGGATTTTTGTTTATCACGGGTGGTTTTGGTCCCCATTAACCGCGATAAACGAGGGATTACTGTACAGTACAGTAGTTGACCTGGTTCATGATTTCACTGGGAAGGGAATCAGGGAGGTTACAGTATCTACAGATAGAGGGCGCCAAACGCAACTAGCCGCAAGTGGAGGCAGTCCACGCAAACCACAGCATGGACGTACGTATTGTACTGTACCGTACCGCATATAGGCGTTTTCGATTTACATGTGGATGTGAGGTGGCGAGGAGGTTGACAGATCTAGAGCTGGGGGGGAGAGAGAGAGAGAGAGAGAGAGAGAGAGAGCTTCCCTTGTCCTTGTTTGACGAAATCCCAAACATCTCAATTCTTGCTCTGACCACCCCCACTACCCCCCCACCTCCACTCTCTCTCTCTCTCTCTCTCTCTCTCTCTCTCTCTCTCTCTCTCACACACACTCACACACACACACACACACACTCGACACACACACACACACACACACACACGCACACACACGATTTCTTTTCAAGGTTATAATTGGACAACTCCCCCATCTGTCCGACTGCTATCACAATCGTCAGTGTCTCCTCCTCCCAGCAGCAACAGAAGCAGCGGCTCTCTATTTCAGTGGAGAACAACAACGATTTGGAACATACAGCCGGTTCCGTATGGAAAGCACCGTCGCAAGCGGCGGTCCAGCGAGTTACTGGCGGCTTTAGATTGATAGCCCAGGCTGCAGGATGGTCTCCGTGTACACCTCCTGGCCGTGGATTACATTGTACCTTCATTTATGTTCCGTATTAAACCCAGGGGAAGCGCAAACTGCAAAAGAAGGTAAGTTCCTTAAGTTTTACTTTGAACCGTCCAATTGTGTTTACGATATCTGGCCGGAGAAACAGAAACGCGTCGGACTTCGTCTATTGTATTTTCTCTTTTCGTGTATTTGATGGAAAGCGCAGATGTGTAGTGCAGTCATATATGATGTAAGATTGGTGTGTGGGAACATCAACGCTGTCCAGACGTCTATAGCGATTTCCGGTGTTTTCTCCTCACCACAAATAACAGTCCCGATCAAACTGAAGCCGTCACCCCATCTAACATCGAACAACAATTCAAGATGCTATTCTAACGATCGCTATTGTCAGTCAAGGTGTTAGAAGCGAATCGATGGTGTTAGTATTCGTGTTGGCTAGTAGGTGGTCCATATTTTTCCCGATCGAGTCTTCGTTCCGTACGGCATTCCTTTCTCGCCTTGGATTTGGAAGGAGACTCACAGCAGCTTGCGATCCATACAAACGCTTTAACGGAGGCTGTAAAAAGCAAAATGAATAAATAAATAAATAAAATGAATCTATCTATCTATCTATCTATCTATCTATCTATCTATCTATCTATCTATCTATCTATCTTTTTGTTCTTCTACTTTCTTCCTTTCATAACTTCGCTGCTGTAAATTGGGATTTTCTGAATTGTGAGACGAATAAAGGTTTTCTTATTCTTATCGTATTATTATTACCTGTCTATCTCGTTCTCTCCGATGTTTTGTAAGAAAAGGCACTGAAATAAGCACAATTACATTTTTTCCACGCAGCTCTTGAAACCAAACTTATTTTGTGCTCCATTAAAAAGTTTTTCATCACTGCCGCTGATATAAACTAAGGTGTTTTCAAGGCGTGTCATCAAATTATAAGTTATAGGGTGTACCTAACTTAATTGCCCTTGATGAAACGTAACCACCTGCCTCTTGGTCCTATTAGTGGTTCTGTTGGACTCCAAGGCACAGCAGACAGAACTAGAGTGGATCTCCTATCCTCCCAATGGGGTAAGTGTGCAGTACTGTATCTCCTCCTTGTAACGCCATTATGATGCCACTTAACACATTTCCCAAGATATTGTAAAAGTTGACAGTAAAAAATAAATATCAATATATTTTTATATCAGATAAATGAGAATTTATTTTCAGACATGCGTACTTAGCTTGAGTCCGGTCTGCTCCCATTCGCACTTGAGATATATATACAGTATATCTATCTATATCAGTGGCGGATGCTGGTCTGTCAAAAAGGGGAAGCTCAATTTTGGCTGACATCATAAAATGTGTACGTTTATTTATACGTGAATTCTACTCTCCGTTCCTTTTCAAGAAAATGATCTGTGACCTTGTCATACTAACAAGGCGTCTTTTCTAGGGACTTAATTAGTGTCCTACAACTTCAGCAACTACAATAAAACCCACCAGAAATAAAAGATTAATTTGTCGCTAGTTGTTTACAACAAAGAGTGTCTCTAAGATGATTAGGAGAAGTCTCCAGCTCAACTCAGAACAGAATGCGAATTGAAAAATTACTCACACGGATGCCGACACTAAAAGGTCGGTGATTGGCTCATTTCGATGTCAATCAAACTGGCACAGAGGCTCAGACAGATCATCCAATCTGATGCAGAAAAGCCTGGCGTCCGGTACCCTCCCACTGCCATCCAGTCCCAGAGACGCCGAGCGTCCGTGGGCGGGACAAAAACCAGCTTGTATCCAATGACTCGTCTCCGTTCAACACATTGGGACAACCTACCCTGAACTCTCGAGACGCCCGGCGTCTGCCCAATCGACGCTCTGCGGACGTTCTGCGGGCCGTCT